TCAGCTGTTGATAGAAAGGATGGCAGTTGTGCTCGATGCCAACGCCAGCTCCCAAAAGTGTCGTTAAACGATTGTTGGGTGGTTTGCGTGGTTGGCAAACGAGGGGTTGTATGGTGGTTTGTGCTGGGTGTTTGTCGGGCCGTGTAAGCGCCGTAAGTTTCGTCCGACACAGTAAAAGAGATAAAAGAGGAGGGTGGCATAAGAGAATGCGCCGTCCGGGAATCGAACCCGGGGCATCTCGTTGGTAAAGAGATATTTTACCACTAAACCAACGGCGCTTAGACGGACCAACAAACACCCCACAAACCACACAACCCTGCAACACGCACCACCAACATCACCAACGACACTGCGTATCGCACACTCCATCCTGTCTATCAACAGCTGACCTCCGATCCCTACAGCCATCGACGCGTCCGCAGTTGTCCTCGATACCAACGACAGCTCCCAAAACCGACCTTCCACGCACGGCGAGCGAATAGCATGGTTTGCTAACGAGCGGTAGCATAGCGGGTTGAACTTGATGTCTACCACGCACTGGATACGCCGAAAGATGCGTCCGACACAGTAAAAGAGATAAAAGAGGAGGGTGGCATAAGAGAATGCGCCGTCCGGGAATCGAACCCGGGGCATCTCGTTGGCAACGAGATATTTTATCACTAAACCAACGGCGCTTACACGGACCAACAAACACCCCACAAACCACACAACCCTGCAACACGCACCACCAACAATCGCCAACGACACTGCGCATCGCACACTCCATCCTGTCTATCAACAGCTGACCTCCGATCCCTACAGCCATCGACGCGTCCGCAGTTGTCCTCGATACCAACGACAGCTCCCAAAACCGACCTTCCACGCACGACGAGCAATTTGCATGGTTAGCTAACGAGCGGTAGCATAGCGGGTTGAACTTGATGTCTACCACGCACTGGATACGCCGAAAGATGCGTCCGACACAGTAAAAGAGATAAAAGAGGAGGGTGGCATAAGAGAATGCGCCGTCCGGGAATCGAACCCGGGGCATCTCGTTGGCAACGAGATATTTTACCACTAAACCAACGGCGCTTGCACGGACCAACAAACACCCCACAAACCACACAACCCTGCAACACGCACCACCAACGATCGCCAACGACACTGCGCATCTCAAAAACCCCCTTCCTGTTTTATAATAGGCTGAAACTCCGAATCCCTAAGCCCACCAAGCGTTCCGCAGTTGTGCTCCGAAAAACAAGAAAAGGTTCCCCAAAACGAACTTTCCTGCAGGAAGAAACAATTTGCATGGTTTAGCTAACGAGCGGTTAGCATAGCGGGTTGAACTTGATGTCTTCACGCACTCGATACGCCGGAAGATGCGTTCGACACAGTATAAGAGATAAGAGAGGAGGGGTGGCATAAGAGAATGCGCCGTCCGGGAATCGAACACGGGGCATCCTGTTGGCAACGAGATATTTTATCACTAAACCAACGGCGCGTTACACGGGGACAACAAACACCCACAAACCACACAACCCTTGCACACGCCACAACAACAATCGCCAACGACACTGCGCATCGCACACTCCATCCTGTCTATCAACAGCTGACCTCCGATCCCTACAGCCATCGACGCGTCCGCAGCTGTCCTCGATACCAACGACAGCTCCCAAAACCGACCTTCCACGCACGACGAGCAATTTGCATGGTTAGCTAACGAGCGGTAGCATAGCGGGTTGAACTTGATGTCTACCACTCACTGGATACGCCGGAAGATGCGTCCGACACAGTAAAAGAGATAAAAGAGGAGGGTGGCATAAGAGAATGCGCCGTCCGGGAATCGAACCCGGGGCATCTCGTTGGCAACGAGATATTTTATCACTAAACCAACGGCGCTTACACGGACCAACAAACACCCCACAAACCACACAACCCTGCAACACGCACCACCAACAATTGTTAACGACACTGCGCATCGCACACTCCATCCTTTCTATCAACAGCTGACCTCCGATCCCTACAGCCATCGACGCGTCCGCAGTTGTCCTCGATACCAACGACAGCTCCCAAAACCGACCTTCCACGCACGACGAGCAATTTGCATGGTTAGCTAACGAGCGGTAGCATAGCGCGTTGAACTTGATGTCTACCACGCACTGGATACGCCGGAAGATGCGTCCAACACAGTAAAAGAGATAAAAGAGGAGGGTGGCATAAGAGAATGCGCCGTCCGGGAATCGAACCCGGGGCATCTCGTTGGCAACGAGATATTTTACCACTAAACCAACGGCGCTTACACGGACCAACAAACACTCCACAAACTACACAACTCTGCAACACGCACCACCAACATCACCAACGACACTGCGTATCGCACACTCCATCCTTTCTATCAACAGCTGACCTCTGATCTCTACAGCCATCGACGCGTCCGCAGTTGTCCTCGATACCAACGACAGCTCCCAAAACTGACCTTCCACGCACGACGAGCAATTTGCATGGCTAGCTAACGAGCGGTAGCATAGCGCGTTGAACTTGATGTCTATCACGCACTGGATACGCCGGAAGATGCGTCCAACACAGTAAAAGAGATAAAAGAGGAGGGTGGCATAAGAGAATGCGCCGTCCGGGAATCGAACCCGGGGCATCTCGTTGGCAACGAGATATTTTATCACTAAACCAACGGCGCTTACACGGACCAACAAACACCCCACAAACCACACAACCCTGCAACACGCACCACCAACAATCGCCAACGACACTGCGCATCGCACACTCCATCCTGTCTATCAACAGCTGACCTCCGATCCCTACAGCCATCGACGCGTCCGCAGCTGTCCTCGATACCAACGACAGCTCCCAAAACCCGACCTTCCACGCACGACGAGAAATTTGCATGGTTAGCTAACGAGCGGTAGCATAGCGGGTTGAACTTGATGTCTACCACGCACTGGATACGCCGGAAAGATGCGTCCGACACAGTAAAAGAGATAAAAGAGGAGGGTGGCATAAGAGAATGCGCCGTCCGGGAATCGAACCCGGGGCATCTCGTTGGCAACGAGATATTTTACCACTAAACCAACGGCGCTTACACGGACCAACAAACACCCCACAAACCACACAACCCTGCAACACGCACCACCAACAATCGCCAACGACACTGCGCATCGCACACTCCATCCCTGTCTATCAACAGCTGACCTCCGATCCCTACAGCCATCGACGCGTCCGCAGTTGTCCTCGATACCAACGACAGCTTCCAAAACCGACCTTCCACGCACGACGAGCAATTTGCATGCTTAGCTAACGAGCGGTATCATAGCGGGTTGAACTTGATGTCTACCACGCACTGGATACGCCGAAAGATGCGTCCGACACAGTAAAAGAGATAAAAGAGGAGGGTGGCATAAGAGAATGCGCCGTCCGGGGAATCGAACCCGGGGGCATCTCGTTGGCAACGAGATATTTTTACCACTAAAACCAACGGCGCTTAGCCACGGACCAACAAACACCCCAACAAACTACACAACCCTGCAATACGCACCACCAGCATCGCCAGCGACACTGCGGTATCGCACACTTCCATCCTGTCTATCAACAGCTGACCTCCGGATCCCTACAGCCATCGACGCGTCCGCAGCTGTCCTCGATACCAACGACAGCTCCCAAAACCGACCTTCCACGCACGGCGAGCGAATAGCATGGTTTGCTAACGAGCGGTAGCATAGCGGGTTGAACTTGGTGTCTACCACGCACTGGATACGCCGAAAGATGCGTCCGACACAGTAAAAGAGATAAAAGAGGAGGGTGGCATAAGAGAATGCGCCGTCCGGGAATCGAACCCGGGGCATCTCGTTGGCAACGAGATATTTTACCACTAAACCAACGGCGCTTACACGGACCAACAAACACCCCACAAACCACACAACCCTGCAACACGCACCACCAACATCACCAACGACACTGCGCATCGCACACTCCATCCTGTCTATCAACAGCTGACCTCCGATCCCTACAGCCATCGACGCGTCCGCAGTTGTCCTCGATACCAACGACAGCTTCCAAAACCGACCTTCCAAGCACGACGAGCAATTTGCATGCTTAGCTAACGAGCGGTATCATAGCGGGCTGAGCTTGATGTCTACCAGGCACTGGATACGCCGAAAGATGCGTCCGACACAGTAAAAGAGATAAAAGAGGAGGGTGGCATAAGAGAATGCGCCGTCCGGGAATCGAACCCGGGGCATCTCGTTGGCAACGAGATATTTTACCACTAAACCAACGGCGCTTACACGGACCAACAAACACCACACAAACCACACAACCCTGCAACACGCACCACCAACAATCGCCAACGACACTGCGCATCGAACACTCCATCGCTGTCTATCAACAACTGACCTCCGATCCCTACAGCCATCGACGCGTCCGCAGTTTGTCCTCGATACCAACGAAGGCTTCCAAAAACCGACCTTTCCACGCACGAGGAGCAATTTGCGATGCTTAGCTAACGAGCGGTATCATAGCGGGTTGAACTTTGATGTCTACCACGCACTGGATACGCCGAAAGATGCGTCCGACACAGTAAAAGAGATAAAAGAGGAGGGTGGCATAAGAGAATGCGCCGTCCGGGAATCGAACCCGGGGCATCTCGTTGTCATCGAGATATTTTACCACTAAACCAACGGCGCTTGCACGGACCAACAAACACCCCACAAACCACACAACCCTGCAACACGCACCACCAACATCACCAACGACACTGCGCATCGCACACTCCATCCTGTCTATCAACAGCTGACCTCCGATCCCTACAGCCATCGACGCGTCCGCAGTTGTCCTCGATACCAACGACAGCTCCCAAAACCGACCTTTCCACGCACGACGAGCAATTTGCATGGGTTAGCTAACGAGCGGTAGCATAGCGGGTTGAACTTTGATGTCTACCACGCACCGGATACGCCGAAAGATGCGTCCGACACAGTTAAAGAGATTAAAGAGGAGGGTGGCATAAGAGATGCGCCGTCCGGGAATCGAAAACCAGGGGCCATCTCGGTTGGCAAACGTAAATAATTTTATCACTAAACCAACGGCGCTTGCACGGACCAACAAACCCCCCACAAACCACACAACCCTGCAACACGCACCACCAACATCACCAACGACACTGCGCATCGCACACTCCATCGCTGTCTATCAACAGCTGACCTCCGATCCCTACAGCCATCGACGCGTCCGCAGTTGTCCTCGATACCAACGACAGCTTCCAAAACCGACCTTCCACGCACGACGAGCAATTTGCATGCTTAGCTAACGAGCGGTATCATAGCGGGTTGAACTTGATGTCTACCACGCACTGGATACGCCGAAAGATGCGTCCGACACAGTAAAAGAGATAAAAGAGGAGGGTGGCATAAGAGAATGCGCCGTCCGGGAATCGAACCCGGGGCATCTCGTTGGCAACGAGATATTTTACCACTAAACCAACGGCGCTTACACGGACCAACAAACACCCCACAAACCACACAACCCTGCAACACCGCACCACCAACAATCGTTAACGACACTGCGCTCCTCTGGAAACGTCCCCATCCTGTCTATCAACAGCTGGACTTCCGATCCGAAAGGCCATCGAGCGGTCGGCAGTGGTCTCGGATACCAAGAAAAGCTGCCAAAACCAGCCTTCACGGCACTGCGCATCGCACACTCCATCGCTGTCTATCAACAGCTAACCTCCGATCCCTACAGCCATCGACGCGTCCGCAGTTGTCCTCGATACCAACGACAGCTTCCAAAACCGACCTTCCACGCACGACGAGCAATTTGCATGCTTAGCTAACGAGCGGTATCATAGCGCGTTGAACTTGATGTCTACCACGCACTGGATACGCCGAAAGATGCGTCCGACACAGTAAAAGAGATAAAAGAGGAGGGTGGCATAAGAGAATGCGCCATCCGGGAATCTCACACGCGGGGTATCTCGGTGGCAACGAGATATTTTTATCTCTAAAACCAACGGCGCTTAACACGCGACCATCAAAAAACTCCACAAAACCACACAAACCCTGGCAAACGGCACCACACAAAAATCGCCAAAGCACACTGGCGCATTCGCACACTCTCATCCTGTCTATCAACAGCTGACCTCCGATCCCTACAGCCATCGACGCGTCCGCAGCTGTCCTCGATACCAACGACAGCTCCCAAAACCGACCTTCCACGCACGACGAGCAATTTGCATGGTTAGCTAACGAGCGGTAGCATAGCGGGTTGAACTTGATGTCTACCACGCACTGGATACGCCGAAAGATGCGTCCGACACAGTAAAAGAGATAAAAGAGGAGGGTGGCATAAGAGAATGCGCCGTCCGGGAATCGAACCCGGGGCATCTCGTTGGGCAACGAGATATTTTTACCACTAAAACCAACCGGCGCTTAGACGGACCAATCAAAC